CGACGGGACACCTCGGGACACCACATCGATCTCACTATCGATCTCACCATCGATCTCACCCAACGGGACACCACGGGACACGACGGGACACCTGTCGTATCACTATCGATCTCACTTTTTGGGGCACCACGGGACACCGCGGGGGACACCGCGAGCCACCGCCAGACGGACGGACGGACGAGCGGGTGGGGAAGAATCATGTGTCTTGACTTCGCCCTAGCAGCGGCGGACACCGCGGGACACCACGGGACACCACGGGACACCGCGGGACACCGCGAGCCACCGCCAGACGGACGGACGGGAACGAAACATTTGTCTTGACTTTGCCCTCGTAGCGGCGGACACCACGGGACACCACGGGACACCGCGGGACACCGCCAGGGCCACCGCCGGACGGACGGACGGACGGACGGACGGGGGAGCAACATTTGTCTTGACTTCGCCCTAGCAGCGGCGGGTTCATTCCTCTCGCGCGCCCACGCAGCTTCGCCTCGCCCGCACGCACGACACGAACGAAACGTATCGATTTCCCGTATGGGGGTCTCCGTTCCACTGCGATCTTACCCCCCAACGTCCGACTGCTCTTTCGTTGGAGCCGCTTGCGTCCGTCTTACAAGCACGCCGCAATTGCAAGGACAGGGGGCGGATGATCTTCGAAACGGGACTCTCGCATGAACGTCGCGCACCTTCGTCTTAAAAGTGTGCAGCAGTTTCACGGATGGAAAGCGGGTGGTTTTCAAGATGATGCTCTCGCCCTAGCGCCGCGCAAGTGCGTCTGAAAAACTGAAAAGTGTGTAACAATTTCGCGGATGAGAAGCGCATGGTTCTCAAAATGGTGCTCTCGTTTTTGCGCCACGCATGTCCGAATGTGGAAGATTTCGCGGACGGAGGACGTGTGGTTTTCAAATGTGGCACTCGCCTTAGCGCCGCGCGCATTCGTCTTAAAATCGTGCAACGGATTCAAAGATTGACGGCGGCTCCTCTTCAACATGTCGCCCTCGCCCCAGCACCGCGCGCATCGTCTTAAACGCTTACAATGAATGCAGAAGTTCGTACTGTCGAAATCCTAGGAATGGTGGTTCGGCACGATGTAGGACTGTCAGGGCGCTACAAATCAGAATCATGCTGACTCGCGCGGTTGAGTCCCAGGACTGGTATGGTATCGGATTGTCAGGACGAAACAATCACATTCGCCCGTGGCGTTGAGGTCCCACGAACTGTGCTTGGGCACGATTGAAGAAACTGAGACGTTTGTCTTCTAATGGCCCCGTCCCGCAAAAAATACATGTCGCCGCGCCGTTTGTTCTCGGCGCGCCCGAGGGGACGAAGCCGGCACCGCGACAAACCCATGGCCAACCCTGCGTCCGAGGCGGAATTTGCCCCAGTGGCCGAGGTGCTCTCCCCAAGACGCAATGCCACGCGTTGGAACTAGCGGCGCGGCGACACATGCTAATTCATTATGGGCCCTGTGAAGAGGGAACTTGGTGGAAGGCCGTATTGCAACATCATTGGTGCGCCTTGGGCTTATGGCTTACACTGGTCCCCATCCTCCTCCTCCTCCTCCTCCTCCTCCTCCTCCTCCTCCTCCTCCTCCTCTTCCTCCTTCTCCTCCTTCTCCTCCTCCCTTTTTCTCTTTCTCTTCCTTTTCCTCCTCATGACCTCTTCGTCGTCGTCGTCCTCCTCCTCCTCCTCCTCCTCCTGATCCTCCTCTTCCTCCTCCTCCTCCTCCTCCTACTCCTCCTCCTCCGACTGTGCTGGTCCGTTCGGGGCCGATGCCCCCACGCAGCCCCCTGGGGGCCCAGCGTGTGTCTAATGGGCAAGGCAGGGCTCCCCGTGGGCCCGGTACTAGTAGCAGTATATGGGAGCCCCCGCCTGGGGTTGCCAAGCCTAGCCTTGAGCTCATTCGGGGCCACCACATGCGGTCGCCGAGAAGCCCTATTATTGTCTCAACTGCGGTGGATCAGCATCCTGTCGCCCATCAGTGCTGATGGCCCACTGCAATGGGCCCGTCACCTGGGAGACTAGCCAGTTTCGGGCTGCAGCTTTTAGAAATCTTCAAGCTGGCCGCCATCCTCGAACGGGAATCCCTCCAAGAGGTGGCGTCCCAAATGCTTACCACTCTGTTCTGTTTTCGAGGCTCTCAAATGCCTTGCTGCTGCGGAGCCTTCACGGAAAGCCGGGTCCTCCTCCTCCTCCTTCTCCTCCTCCTCCCCGTCCTGCTCCTTCTCGGCCTCCTCCTCCTCCCCCTCCTCCTCCTCCTCTTCCTCCTCCTCCTCCTCCGCCTCCTCCCTCTTCTCATCCCCTTCCTCCTCCTCCTCCTCCTCCTCCTCCTCCTCCTCCTCGTCTCCTCCTCCTCTCTCCCTCCTGACCCTCCCTCCTCATCCCCTCCTTCTCCTCCTCGTCCTCCTCTCCTCCTCACTCCCTCACTCCTCGCTCCTCCTCCGTGCCTCCGTGCTCCTCCTTCTCCTCCTAGCCTCCTGCCTCCTCCTCCTCCTCCTCCTCCTCCTCCTCCCTGTTCTCTCCCGCTTCTCTCCTCCGCTCCTCCTCAATGCCTCCTCATGCTTCATCCTCCCTCTTCCTCATCTTCCTCCGCCTCCGTTTCTCCTCCTCCTCCTCCTCTGCTAATTAATTTCTCCTCCTCCTTCTCCTCTCCCAGTTCCTTCTCCTCCTCCTCCTCCTCATCATCATCATCATCCTCCTTCTCCTCCTCCTTCTCCCTCCTCCTCCTCCCCCCCTCCCTCCTCCCCTCGCTCTCCTCCCCTCCTCCTTCTCCGAGATTCCCCTCGCTCCTCCTCCTCCTCCTCCTCCTCCTCCTCCTCCTTCCGCCTCCTCCTCCGTTTACCCTCCTCTTCCTCTTCCTTCTCCTCCTCCTCCTCCTCGTCGTCGTCGTCCTCGTCCTCCTCGGTCCTCCTCCTTCTCCTCCTCCTTCTTTCTCCTCCTCCTCCTTCTCCTCCTCATCCTCCTCCTCCGCCTCCTCTTTTTCTCTTCTCCCCGTCCTCCTCCCCCTCCTCCTCCTCCTCCTCCTCCTCATCCTCCTCCTCCTTTTCGTCCCCGTCCTCCTCCGTTGTCATTTAACCTTGCGCATCGCGCCCCGCAATGCGCGTCTATCTTCGAGCCCTCACTCTCTGACCCAGACCGCGATGCGCGAAGAGCGGTTATTTTTGCGACCTCTCAGACTCCGACCTGGCCCCGGTCCTCCTTCTACCCCTCCGCGCTCCATCTCCCCCTTCCTCCCTTCCTTCCGAGCGGTTTGACGGCGCCCACCCGATCGGGTCGCCGCGGCCGGCCAGGCCGCCGGGCGCGGCCCTCATCTCCCGCGGGCGACACCGAATGTCTGCCGCGCGGGCCCCCCCTCTGCGGCCGAGGCCGCGCAGGGTGACGCCCTACGCTTCGCGGGAGGCGCTAGCCCCCCCTCCCCCCCTTGGAGGAGGAGGAGGAGGAGGAGGAGGAGGAGGAAGAGGAGGTGGAGGAGGAGGAGGAGAAGGAGGAGGAGGAGGAGGAGCAGGGAGAGAAGGAGGAGAAGGAGGAGGAGGAGCAGAAGGTGGAGGAGGAGGAGGAGGAGGAGGAACCCGCCCAGCCGCCCGTGGAGTGCCGCGGAGGCCCCCTGCAGCGCCCTCCTTCACCCACAGTCGCGGACTTGATTGGGCAGGACACCCTGAGAGGACACAATATCCTTCCGACGACAACGTGGCCCCAGAGCACCAAAGGACATGCGGGTTGCATTGGTCGGGATAAACAGGACACAAGGGCACCCACGATTTGGCAGGGTCGACCTACCAATCAGGGCCGACTGCGGCTGCGCTCGCTCTGGGAGCGAAGCCTTCGCAGCGCCCGATCGCCGCGCGGCCGCGGCCCACCGCGAGAGGGCGTGAGCAAAACACCCCCTCCTGTTCCTCTTCCTCCTCCCCTCCTCATCCGTACTAATATCACGGTTACCAGCAGCATTGATCTTATTATTATCATACTATTATTACTCCTAACCATATGAATCGCATTATTCGTAACAGTCGCATTAGGAGTGCCATTATTATGGGTTTTCGTATTGCTGTTGGTATGTACCAACACCGATATCACGAATGTTACTGCTAATATTCTTAGTAGTGTCATGACTACTTGTACTGCTAGTACTATTAGTATTATGATACTATGATTATGGCTGTAATATTATAATATTATAGTTCATATTCATCGTAGTCGTCGTATTAGTTGCAGTCGCATTAATCGTAGGAGCTTCGTATCGTTACTAGTGCAAGTCTTAATCCTACGAATCGCATTCGTATTACTCGCATTATACTTCTTAGTGTTCGTCACAACCTTCTTCTGACTGGAATGACTATTATAAGCATTGCTACCTATTATAGCTAGTCATGTTGATTGTAACACTCGCATTACTGTCGCTGGCACTTCTGGTATATTGAGTGTGAATATAAGTATGGTTGTTGAGTGATTCCTCCTCCTGTTCCTACTGCGTGCCTCCTCCTCCTCTTCCTCCTCCTCCGTGCGTCCTCCTTATCTGTGCCAGATCCTCCTCCTCCTCCTCCTTCTCCTCCCCCTCCTCCTCCTCCTCCTTCTCCTCCCCCTGCTCCTCCTCCTCCTCCTCCTCTTCCTCCTTCTCCTCTTGCTTCTCCTCCTCCTCCTCCGTGACACCTCCTCCTCCTCCTCCTCCTCCTCCTTCTTCTTCTTTCCTCCTCTCCCAAGATCCTCCGTGCCTCCCCCTCCCCCATCCCCCTCGGGGCCTCCGTGCCTCCGTACATCCGTTTCCTGCCTGCGTGCCTCCTCCTCCTCCTCCTCCTCCTCATCCTCCTCCTCTCCTCCTCCTCTCCTCCTCCTCCTCCTCCTACCTCCTCCTCCTCCTCCTCCTCCTCCTCCTCGTCCTCCTCCTCCTTCTGCGTGCCTCCTCTGTGCCTCCATGCATCCTCCTTCTCCATGCCTCCTCACCCTCCCCGCGGGCTCCCCCCCCCGAGCTGACCCCGAGCGCTCGAAGCCCCCAACTTGCGGGCCTTCCGTGATCTGGTCGACGCGCAGTGCGGCGCCGGCCACCTCGGACACCTCGATGTTAACCTTGTCGATCGCGATGCCCAGCGTGGGCCTCTCCTCCTGGCGTAGGGGAACGAGAAGCGGCATATAAGCTTTCGGAGCTCCGTGCGGACTTCCTGGATCGGCCCTGGACGCCATCCTTGGCGCGCGGAGCGCACCGTGGGCGGCGCCATACGCGCCGCCAAGGGGAAATGTTGATTCGCGCCTTCGGCGCCGCCGTAGGCAAATCCAAGAAATTCGCGCAGACCGTTGAAAATTTGTGTTTATGCAATTGTGTCTTCCTCGACTGGCCGCGCGCGTCGCTCCCCAGACCCCCCCGCGTCGTGAGAAAACATGGCGTGAGGTTACTCGTGGTTTCGACCTCTGAAGGGCCTCGCCGGACCCCCGGGACCGTCCAAGAACGATGGAAGACGAACACCTGCGTTGTTCTTTGACGGTCCAGGGAGCCCGGCGAGGCCCTTCAGAGGCCGAAACCACGAAGAACCTCACGCCATGTTTTCTCACAACGCGAGGGGCCTGGGTTCGGGGCGAGAAGGATGAGCAAAAGGAGGAAGGCCGAGGAGAGAGGCTGGCCATGGGAGGAGGAGGACAAAGGAGGAGGAGGAGGAGGAGGATGAGGAGCCCGAGGAGGAGGGGGAGGGGAGGAAGGGGCAGGAGGAGGAGGAGGGAGGAGAGAAGAGGAGCAGGAGAAGGAGGAGGAGGCGAGAGGAGGAGTGGGGAAGGAGGAAGAGAAGGAGGAGGAGGCGGAAGGAGGAGGAGGAGTAGGAGGAGTAGGACACAGGCCATGGGAGGAGGAGGGAAAGAAAAGGGGAGGAGGAACCCGACAAGGAGGTGAGAGGAGGAGGAGAGGAGGAGGGGGAGGAGGAGGAGGAGGAGGAGGAGAAAGGAGGAGGAGAAAGGAGGAAGAGGAGGAGGAGGTGGAGGAGGCCGAGGGGGTTGGGAGGGGAAAGGGGCCAGGAAGAGCGGAGTAGGAGGAGGAGGAGGAGAGGAGGAGGAGGAGGAGGAGGAGGAAGGAGGAAAGAGGGCGGTAGAGGGGGAGCGAGGAGGGGAGGAGGAGGAGGAGGAGGAGGAGGAGGAGGAGGAGGAGGAGGAGGAGGGTGAGGAGGAGGGGAAAGGAGGAAGGAGGAGAAGGAGGAGGAGGAGGGAGGAGGAAGAAGGAGGAGGAGGAGGAGGAAAAGGAGGAGGAGAGGAGGAAGAAGAGAAGGAGGAGGAGGAGGGAGGAGGGGGAGGAGGAGGAGGGGGAGAGGAGGAGGAGGAGGAGGAGGAGGAGGTAGGAGGAGGGGGGGGGGAGTAGGAGGTGGCAGGATGAGGAGGAGCAGGAGGAGGAGAGGAGGAAGAGGAGGAGGAGGAGGAGGAGGAGGAAGAGGAGGAGAGAGGAGGAGGAGGGGAAAAGGAGGAGGAGGAGGAGGAGGAGGAGGAAAGGAGGAGGAGGAGGAGGAGAGAGGAGGAGGAGGGAGGAGGAGGAAAGGAGGGAAGAGGAGGAGGAGGACGAGGAAGAGGGGGAGGAGGAGAGGAGGAGGGAGGAGGAGGAGGAGGGGAGGGGAGGAGGAGAGGAGGAGGAGGAGGAGGACCAGGACGAGGACGAGGAGGAGGAGGAGAAGAAGGAGGAAGTGGAGGAGGAGGAAAGGGAGGAGGAGGAGAAGAAGGAGGAGGCGGAGAAGGGGAGGAGGAGGAGGCGGAGGAGGAGGAGGAGGAGGAGGAGGAGGAGGAGGCCAAGGACAGAGGCCAGCCATGGGAGGAGGAGGAACAAGGAAGAGACGGAGGAGAAGGAAGAGGAGGAGGAGGAGCCCGAGGAGGAAGAAGAAGGGTCGAGGAGGAAGAGGGGGAGGAGGAGGAGGAAGCGGAGGAGGAGAAGGAGGAGCAGTGTAAACCCAAGAGCCATCAACGATATTGGAATTCACCCTCCCTCCAAGCTTTCGCATCATGTGCCCCTACAACCGATCATTTCCATTGAGGGAACTGCCTCGTTGGAAGACAATTGTTTGAAGATCTTGAAGCATGCCAAAACATTGATCTCGGGATTTCCACGCCACGGGTCACCCTGACTGCTGCGTCCTGACGATCTGGAATCGCGCCAGATCGCCATTCTTGGGAGTTCAACACCACGAATCAACATAACTGTTGCACCCTCATAATCCGGAATCCTTCCAACACACACTTCTGGTACGTTGGTCATGGGAATCCGTGAAATTGCAAATATTTAGAACGAGTGCGCGCGGCGCTTAGACGAGAACCACATTGTGAAAAGGAACCACCCTCAAACCGTGAAGCTCTTGCAAATGTTTGACATGAATGTGCGCGGCGCCAAGGCGAGCGCAACATGTTGGAAATGGAACGCCCTCAATCCGTGAAGCTCTTGCAAATGTTCAAGAGGAGTGTGCGCGGCGCCAAGGCGAGAACCACATGGTGAAAACGACCCGCCCTCAATTCGTGAAACTCTGACAAATGTTTAAAGCGAATGTGCGCGGCGCTAAGGCGTGAATCACATGTTGAAAACCACCCGCCCTCAATCCGTGAAACTCTTGCAAGTTTTAAAGCGAATGTGCACGGCGCCAAAGCGAGCACCACATTTTGAAAACGACCCGCTCTCAACCCGTGAAGCTCTTGCCATTTGTTTAAACGAATGTGCGCGGCACTGAGGCGAGAACCACAATTTGAAAACCACCCGCCCTGAATCCGTGAAACCGTTGCAATATGTTGTCCAACGAATGTGCGCAACGCTAATGCGAGAGCCGCATTTTGAAAACGATCCGCCCTCCATCCGTGAAGCTGTTGCCACTTTTGCTCTCAGAGTCATAGGTTGTGACGAAGTCGCAAGCAAAACGCCCAGCCCGCCCTAAAACTGGCCTCGGGGTGTGACAGAGAGAAACGATTTATAAGGAAAAGGAATGGAGGAGGAGGAGGAGGAGGAGGATGAGGAGGATGATGGATGATGATGATGATGATGATGATGATGATGATGATGATGATGATGATGATGATGATGATGATGATGATGATGATGAGGATGAGGATGATGTGATGGGAGGATGATGATGGGATGATGATGAGGAGGAGGAGGAGGAGAGGAGGGGGAGGGGGAGGAGGAGGAGGAGGGGGAGGAGGAGGAGGAGGAGGAGGGGAGGAGGAGGAGGAAAGGGAGGAGGAGGAGGAGGAGGAAAGGGAGGAGGAGGAGGAGGAGGAGGAGGAGGAGGAGGAGGAGGAGGAAAGGGAGGTTGAGGAGGAGGCCCTCCGCAGCGCTCTCTCGCCCTCCCGGGCCCCCCCTGGAGGCCTCTCGTCGCCACGGCTGGGCCCCCGCCTCGCCGAAGAACGGATATCCGCGGCTCTGGGCCGGGCGGGGGGGGCCGCCGTGGCCTGGGCTCCAGCGGGCCTCGTCCTTCCTCCTTTTCCCCTTCTCCTCTTTCTCCTCCTCTTTCTCCTCCTCCTCTTCCTCCTCCTCCTCCTCCTCCTCCTCTATTCCTCCTCCTCCTCCTCTTGGGGGCCCAGAAACGGGCGAAGGAGAAGGCCTGGAATCCTCGTCCAAGGAAGGAAGAGGCCCCTCTTGGGGGCCCAGAAAACAAACGACAACGCCCCACCTACGGCCCCACGGGGCCCAGCGTGTACCAAGGAGATCTGGCGCGGGCTTTTGCGTGGCATTCGCTACGGCCCCCGACGGGCCGTAGCGCAACATGGAGGGCCGTAGGTGGGATGGGGTCGTTTATGTTTGTCCCAACCATCCTGTGGTGTTGGGTCCTCGTTTTGAAGAGACGTCGCCCCGCGTTCTCCTCTCCTCCTCCTCCTCTCCTCTCCTCCTCCCCCTCCTCCTCCCTCCTCCCCCTCTTCCCTGCGTTCACCACTCAGTACAGCGTTTCGTGGCCCCATAGGGAGCTCCACCGAAGGCCCCAGTGCCACCGTCCACATGCGTCCCCCCCCCACTCAGTACAGCGCTTCGTGGCCCCATAGGGAGCTCCACCGAAGGCCCCAGTGCCACCGTCCACATGCGTCCCCCCCACTCAGTACAGCGCTTCGTGGCCCCACAGGGAGCCCCACCGAAGGTCACAGTGCTACCGTCCACATGCGCCCCCCCCCACTCAGAACAGCGCCTCGTGGCCGCATAGGGAGCTCCACCGAAGCCCCGAGTGGGACCATCCGAGTGCGTCCTGAAACACCCAATTTGGCATTTTCACCCACCCATTACAACGTTTCGTGGCCCCACAGGAAGCTCCACCGAAGGCCCCAGCGCCACCGTCCGCATGCGTCCCGCACACCCAATGTGGCATTTTCACCCACCCAGTGCGGCGTTTCGTGGCCCCACAGGGAGCTCCACCGAATGCCCCAGTGGAACCGTCCGCAAGCGTCTCGAAACACCCACTGTGGCATTTTCACCCACCCAGTCCAAAATTTCGTGGCCCCGTAGGGAACTCCACCGAAGGCCCCAGTGCCACCGTCCGCATGCGCCCCGAAAACCCAACGTGGCATTTTTACACAACCAAGACAGCGTTTCGTGGCCCCTTAGTGAGCTCCACCGAAGCCCCCAGTGGGACCGTCCGCATGCGCCCCGGAAGCCCAATTTGGCATTTTCACCCACCCATTACAGCCTTTCGTGGCTCCACCGAAGCCCCCAGTGGGACCGTCCGCATGCGTCCCGGAAACCTTACTTGGCACACCACTCACCCAGAACAGCGTTCCCCCCCACCCAGTGCAGCGCTTCGTGGCCCCATAGGGAGTTTCACTGAAGAAGATGTTCACAATTGCGGTACCCACAACTGCATATCGTTGGGTCCTTCGCCAGGATAATTGGTCGAAAGGGGGATGCGCGTGCGGGCGGCGCTCGTCTCCTTCCGCCGCCGGCCGCGGCCGGCGCCCTGGAACTGCGACTTCCGAAGGCTCACGCTGAACTCGTACCTGACCGCCGTGGTCGTCGACGTCGTCGTCGTCGTCGTCGTTTTCGTAGTCGCCGTCGTCGTCGGAAGACGGAAAGGAGGAAGACGAGTAGAAGCAAGAGGGAGAGCGGGATGGAGGGGAGAGGAGCAGTGGCGCAGACGAGGCGGAGCACGGGGGGGGAAGGAGGAGGAGGAGGAGGAGGAGGAGGAGAAGGAGGGGGAGGAGGAGGCTGACGTGCTGACGACAGAGAGGCCGAGGCCCACCCGCTCACCGAAGAGATCCGCTCGCGCCGCCACGACGCGAAGCCGCGCGTGCCGCGACCCCGGCCCCAGGGGCGGAAGCAACCACCAGGTTCCACTGGGGGTGGCGGCCCGCCAGGGCCGCGGCGGCCAGGAGGGCCGCCCAAAACTGAACCCAGCCCCAGGCCCCGAGGGGAACGACCAGGAGGACCCCAGATGGCAGCCTGCCCCGATTGCTCCCCCCCCGAGGCACTCAAGCCTCGGAGACGTCAGATGGGACCGAAGTCCGACCCTCGCCCTCGACCTGCTCCAGGACGATCGCGGGGCCGTCGAGGCTTGCGAGGTCCATGAGGCCCTTCTCGTGCAGCTGCCCGGCCAAGCCGCGGAGCCGGCCGATCAGGTCGCTGCCCGCGTCCTCCGCGCCGTCGGCACCGGTGAGCTTCGGGACGGGCGGCACCGCTGCCTGCAGCTTGCTCCCCTCCTCATACTCCTTGCCGATCTGCGGGTTCTTCTTCTTGTTCTGATTCATACAATTATTAGTGTCAGTACTATTGTTATTACTGTGATTCGTACTAGCAATCTTAATATTTTGAGTGTTAGTATTATTAGTAGTATTATGCTTCTTCTTCTTCTTATCATTATTATTACTACTTTTGTTATTCTCATTGCAATTATTGGTACTATTACCGTTTTTGATTAGTATGATTATTATTACTTTTTCTTCTGGGAGTCCTCCTCAACATCGGACTCCGGGCCGATGTCGAAACGAACAGCAGCCTGATGACCATCTCCTCGGCTGCTGCGGCTTACCTTGCTGGCCGTCTCCGCTACGACCTCGTCTCCTCCTTTCAGCCCCAGGCCCAAGGCGCGGTCGGAAACTTGGACGACCTCCACGCGCCCTTCACCTCCTGCTACGGGCGAGGCGTTGGCGACCTTTGTCGACGATCGCGCCCTCCTCGCACTCTTCTCCTTCTTCTCCTGTTTGCTGCGCTTCTTCTTCTTCGTATTATTATTATGATGTTAATGAATATTATGATTAGTATTATTATCATCATTATTATTATCATTCGTATTATTGTTATTGTTATTATTTTATACTTTTTTGTTATCAATAGCATTACTTGTTATTACGATAGTTATTAATAATTTGAATATTAGTATTGGTATTAACAACCTTCGCCCTCTTATTATTTTTCTTCCTGTAGCGCTGCGTGCCAGTCGACATTCCCGAGGTGGACGTCGCGCGCCTCTTGCGGGCCTTCGACTGGCGTTTCTTCGCGACCGGCTCCTTCGGCTTGTAGGACTCCGACCGCCCCTTTCCCGACGCCGCCAACCCCGAGATCCCCACGCCCGGGGCCGACGCCTGCTGCGCCACCACCGTTCCCGGCGTGTTCCAGCAAGGCGCCCCCGGAACACGCTCCTGGACCTTCAGGCTGAAGAGCCACTCGTCCAGGCACCTGGCCTGCTCGAACTTGCGCTCCTCCCCCGGTGTCCGTGGCGGCTGCGGGCGCGCCCCGCGCCACCCTTGACCAGCCCGGTGGAAGCTACTCGACCACCTCCGTGAGCCCCTGGTGGAAGATGGGCGTGTGCTCCGCCGACGCTCTCGCCGTCGGGAAGACCCCAGGAAGCCGAGGCTCCCTCTCCTGCAGCGGCTGCGTCGGCCGCCTCGGCGGCGTGGCAGGCACCCGCCTCGGGGGCGTGGCAGGTCGCCTCGTCGCGGTCGCTGACGACCACTGCCCCCAGCTCCGCGCCCTGGCCGCAGACCGCCTGGTAGCCCTCCTCGAGCGCCGCAAGCTGCTCGCCCAGGCGCTTGGAGAGCCTGCTCTCCGCGATCCACAGCTTCATGCCGCCATGGCGGCGCGGGCTTCTGGCTCGGGTGGGCTTCGCCCCTTCGAATCGCGCCCACCTCACCCCCCTCGGGCGCAAGCGCTTGAGCCAAAATGGCAACGGAGGAGGATGGGGAGGAGGAGGAGGAGGAGGAGGAGGAGGAGGAGGACCAGAGTCAACACAAGATGCAGCAACGCTGCTGCAATTTTCCCTCCCGTCCCACCTTCCCGAAGTTTGGAGGAATAGCGGGCGAGCGAGCCCTCGCGTCCTCGCCTCTATCAGGGAGGCGTCGTGACCGAAACTGTGCCCGAACATCTGCCCGAGTGCGACCGAAGCTGGCGCCAGAAAGGTTCCGACCGCGCCCGAGCGTGACCGACATGTCTGGTTCGAAACCAGAACGAGACTTACACTTTCGGTCACGCTTTCGGTCGCGCGACGCTTTCGGCCACGACTTCGGGCCGACCTTTCCATGCATAATTAAAGAGCGGGGTGTCACGAGAACTCTGGTCCCCTCCAGCCTGCGGGCCGCAGCCCGTGACACAGACCGAGGGGGGGGAGGAGGAGGAGGAGGAGGAGGAGGAGGAGGAGGAGGAGGAGGAGGAGGAGGAGGAAGAGGAGCAGGAGGAGCAGGAGGAGCAGGAGGAGAAGGAGGAGGAGCAGGAGGAGGAGGAGGACCAGGAAGAGCAGAAGGAGGACCAGAGTCGACCCAGACCGAAGGGGGGAATGGGCCTCTGCGACGGCCGCTCCCGGCCGACGTCCGCGCTGCCGGGGCGGCGGGCGCGGGCAAGGCCAAGAGACGCAGCGCAGGCAGGAGGAGGATGAGCGAGGAGCGGCCCCTCGCAGCAGGCGAGGCTTCCATCCTGACGAGGGTCCTTCCGCCAATCTTGTGCCCAGACATGATCGCGTCGTCATGAAACAATAAAACGGGACTGGCGGTTTTGGGGCCGTTTTCGACCTCGGGGGGCCCTCGCCGGGCCTCGGGACCGTCGGAAAACGACGCGGGACGAAAAACCGGTCCCCGGGAAAGGGTCGGGACTTCCAGGGACCCCGTACTGAAAAAATCAGGACGTCGCATGTCTGGGAATGGTCCTTCCTCCAATCTTGCACCCGACGAGATTTACGCTCGAACGTGCGCGGCGCTGTGGCTGGAGCCCCATTTTGAAACTGAGCCGTCCTCCATCCTTGTAGCTGCTCCCCCTGCCGCTGCCGCTCTCAAGGTTGTCCAGAAGGCGATGGCGCTGGCGCGCCCGAACTCGCACACCCAGATCTCCGACGATGTTTGTTGTGCGGAATATTTTGACAATTTTCGGCCTTCTGGGGGCCATTGCTGGGCTTTCAGAGCTGATCGAGCACGAATCCAGGATGGAAGACGACCCTGCCCCTGGGGAAGCTGGCGGCCGGGGCCGCTGGGGCCTCGGCTTGAGGCAGACAGATCGGTGGATGTCAGGGCATACTGAGAAGCGGTGGGCTGCTGAGCTCAACGGGCAACCCGCGTGCAAAGCTTACGAATCATCTCAAGCGCCCTCCCACCCCCCGACGCGGCAAGGGAAGAGGCCACGCACGAGGGAGGCGGCCAAAACCCACCGGGGAAGAGGTTGACGCAAAAGAGAGACAGAAGGGGGAGGTGCGCCCGTGCATGGGCCGCGAAAGGTGGTCTGACGCGTTGCGCCTGAGACATCCTAAGAGTTCTGATATCCGAGCTCCAGCGCGGGAGGTGATCTGGCGCGTTTCGCCTGAGACATCCTTGAACAATTCTGGGCTCCGAGATGCTGCGCGAGAGGTGGTCCAGCCCGTTTCGCTTGAGACATCATCGCGAATCTGGGCTCCGAGATGCCGCGAGCGAGGTGTTCCGGTGCGTTTCGCTTAAGACATCCTCGCCATATTGGGCTCCGAGATGCCGCGCGCGAGGTGGTCTGGCCTGTTTCGCCTGAGACATCCTTGCAACTCTGATCTTCGAGATGCTGTGCGAGAGGTGGTCCGGCGCGTTCCGCCTGAGAAAACCTCGCAACTCTGAGCTCGGATATGCCGTGCGCGAGGTGGTCTGGTCCGTTTTGGCGCAGACATCCTTGCAACTCTGGGCTCCAGGACGCCGCGCGCGAGGTGTTCCGGCCCGTTTCGCCTGAGACATCCTCGCAACTCTGGGCACCAAGACGCCGCGCGCGAGGTGGTCCAGCACGATTCGCCCGAGACAACCTCTAAACTCTGGGCTCCGAGAAGGAGGAGGGAGGACGGAGGGGTAAGACCCAAACGAACCATTTGACTATTCTTCTGTTGTCGAATTGTGCTCTGGGAGGTGTCTGGGCGCCGCCTGATCCATGCTCGCAACTCTGAGCTCACAGATGTCGCGCGCGAGTTGGTCTGGCCCATTTCGCCAGAAACATCCTCGCAACTCTGGGCTGCGAGATGCTCCGCGAGAGGTGGTCCAGCCCGTTTCGCTTGAGACATCCTCGTCTGGGCTCTGAGATGCCGCGCGCGAGGTGGTCTAGCGCGCGTCGCCGGAGACATCTTTGCAAATCTGATCTTCGAGATGCCGCGCGAATGGTGGCCTGGGCCGTTTCGTCTGAAACATGTTCGCAATTCTGGGCTCCGAGATGCCCCGCGCGAGGTGGTCTGACACGTTTCGCCTGAGGCATCCTTGCAACTCTGGGCTCCAGGACGCCGCGCAAGACGTGGTGCGGCCCGTTTCGCCTGAGGCAACCTCGCAGATCTGGGCTCCAAGACGCCACGCGCGAGGTGTTCCTGAAACATCCTCGCAACCCTGGGCGCTGACATGCTGCGCGCGAGGTGGTTGGGCGCGCTTCGCCTGAGACATCCTCGCAATTCTGGGTTCCGAGAGGGAGGATGGAAGACGGAGGGGTCAGACCCAAACCCACAATTCAATCACACTTCTGTTGTCGAGTTGTGCTCTGGGATGGGTCCAGGCGCTGCCTGGAAGATCTGGGCTCGAAAAGGCTTCGCGCGAGGTGGTCCGGCCCGTTTCGCCTGAGACATCCTCGCAACTTTGGGCTCCAAGACGCCGCGAGCGTGGTGGTCCGGCACGTTTCGCCTGAGGCAACCTCGTAACTCCGCGCTCCGAGAAATGTGCGCGAGGTGGTCTGGTCCGTTTCGCCTGAGACCTCCTCGAAACTCTGGGCTCCGAGAGGTAGCCCCCCCCAAAAAAAACAAAACAAAAAAAAAAAAACCAAGGATTGCCCCCCAACAAAACAGAATTGCCAAAACCCAGAACGAACCGTTTGCTTGCCCTTCTGTTGTCGACTCGTGCTCTAGAAGCGTCTGGGCGCCCCTGGCCCGATGGAGGAGGTAGCTAGCGCCGACGCGCGAGCGCGATTTCTGTGCAATTTCTGAGAGTTTCTCTGATGGGAGCCGACTCAAACCACGAGGAGCGCTTTCTCTCCCTCCTCCTCCACCTCGTCCTTCTCCCGCTCCCCCCACAAGGAGGGTGTACAAGGAGGCGGGAGGAAGGAGGAACAGGGGAGATATGCGGGGCCAAGCGGACACACGCCTGACATTTCTAAGAGTTTCTCTGATGGGAGCCATGCTTGAGAAGTCGTGGAGATGCCTCGAGCGAGAGCGCGGTGAGCAGGAAGGAGGCAGGATGGGGCAGGAGACTGCAAGGAGGAAATAGGAATCATGGACGAGGGGGACAGGACCAAACCCACACTGATTGTTTGAGAACATCGATGGAGAGGATGCCTCCTGGAACCGGCATCGAGAATGCGGAGGCATTCCTGGCATGGCGGAGGAAGCTCAGACGAGGAAGGACGAGGGGGAGAAGGAGGAGAAGGAGAAGGAGGAGGAGGAGGAGGAAAATGACGAGGAGGGAGAGGAGGAGGAATGCGAGGAGGAGGAGGAGGAGGAGGAGGAGCATTGCTCGGAGGAAGAAGAAGGAGGAGCAGGAGCAGGAGCAGGAGCAGGAGCAGGAAGAGGAGCACTGCGAAGGGGAGGAGGAGGAGGAGGAGGAGGAGGAGGAGGAGGAGGAGGAGGAGGAGGAGGAGGAGGAGAAGGATGATGAGGAGGAGGAGAAGGAGGAGGATGAGAAGGAGGAGGAAGCGGAAAACGAAGTGGAGTACGAGGAATACAAGGAGGAGTGCGGGGAACAGGAGGAGCAGGGAGAGGAAAAGGAGAGGAGGAATGCGATGAGGAGGTAGAGGATGAGGATGATGATAACAACGGAAACGACGAGGAATAGCACAAGTAGGATGAGGATGATTCGTATGAGGAGAGGAACGAAGGAGGAGTGAGATGAAGGGGGTAAAGAAAGAGGAGGACCCTGAGGAGGAGGAGGAGGGGAAGGAGAAGGGGAAGGAGGAGGATGAGGACCAGGAGGATCAGGCAGAGGAGGATGTCGAGGAGGAGGAGGAGGAGGAGGAGGAGGAGGAGGAGGAGGAGGAGGAGGAGAGGAGCGGGAGGAAGAGAGGAGGGGAATGATAAGGAGGAAGTGTCGTGGAAGGGGGGAGGGTGAGGGCGACGAGGGTAATGACGTGGATGCGGAGGAGGAGGAGGAGGACGACCTTGGCTCAAAAATGGTGTTTCGGGGTGCTGGGCTCTGGCTACATGTGTTATGCCTAGTATATGTATATCTCTCTCTCTCTCTCTCTCTTTAGTTTATGCATATATGTGAAAGCCTACATGCAAATTTACAAATATGTATGTAGGTATGTATGGATGTACGTATGCATGCATACATGCATGCATGCATGTGTATATGCATGCGTGCATACGTGTACGCATGTATGCATGTGGCTATGCATGGAATTGCATAAGTGTGTGTATGTATGTATGTGTATATATATGTATAGATGTATAGGTTCGTATGAATACACACATGCTTACATGCAACCGCGCATACATGCATACATGCATGCACGCATGTATGTATGAATGTATGCATGCATGGCTATGTATGTCTATGTATGTATGGCTGCGTGCAGGTATACGTGTGTCCGTGAATGCATGCATGTCCGTATGTATGTGTATGCATGTATGTTAATAGCGCTGTGTATATGCATGTATGCATGCGTGAATACATGCATGTGTGTATGTGTGTATGTACGTGTGTGTGCATGTGTGTATGGATGTGTGAATGCATGCGTACACGAATGTATGTATGTTTGCATATATGCATGTATACATGTATGATTGCATGTACGCGTGTGTGTATGTATGAATGTACGGTCGGATGCGACTGTGTGCAGTTGTATGGTTGTATGAAGGTATGTCGTCGTGCCAATTTGTATGGATGAATGTACGTACGTACGTGTGTGTGTGTATATATGCATGTATGTGTGCATGTCTATATGTGCGTATGTATGAATGTATATGCGTGTGTATGTATGTGCATGCGTACATGTAGGTGTATGTTTGTTTGTGTGTGCGTGTGTATGTATGCATGCATGCACGTGTGTATGTAAGTGTGTGTTTGTAAGTATGCATGCATGCATGCATGCATGTATGTATGTATGTGTATGTATGCATGGATGCATGCATGCATGCGTGTTTGTATGTATGCATGCATGCATGTATGTGTGTACGTACGTACGCATGTATATATGTATGTATGCATGTATGTATGCACACGTGCATGTATAAATGCATGTATGTATGTATGTATGTACGTACGTACGTATGGATGCATGCACGTACGCATGCATATATGTATGTATGTGTACATGTATGTATGTATGTGTACATGTATGTGTACATGTATGTATGCATGTATGTATGTATGTATGTATGTATGTATGTGTGATTGTATGTATGTAGGTGTGTATGTATGTATGTGTGTTTGTATGCTTGACTGTATGCATGCATGCATGAATGCATGCATATTTGTATGTAAATATGCATGCATGTATGTATGTATGTATGTATGTATGTATGTATGTATGTATGTATGTATGTATGTATGTATGTATGCGTGTGTGTTGTGTGTATGTGCGTGTCGCCTCTCCCGCTGCGGTCCACGCTGCGGTCCACGCTGCGTGAACGCATTAATTCCTTCCCCTTCTCCCGCGGCCGCTCCACTCTTCCCCGTCTTCCCATTTTGCATCCGGACAATTCGCAATGCCGTCACCCGGCTTGCCCGAGCGCGCGTGCGGACTGCCTCTGCCGCGCCGCGACGTAAAACAAGTGTATGTGTGTGTGTGCCTGCGGGCATCCAGGGAGGAAGAGAGGGAGGGAGGAAGGCTGAGGAAGATAGGGAGGACGAGAATGATTTGGGGGAGGAAGAACAGGAGGACGAGGGCGGAAGGCGGGAGGGGCCCAATGACGAGATAACCCTCCGCCATACGAGCGACGCCTGCTCCAGATACGCTGGCCTCGACCCCGCCACTGGGCCATTATCCTCCTCCTCCTCCTCCTCCTCCTCCTCCTCCTCCTCCTCCTCCTCCTCCTCTTGGGGGCCCCATTGGAACCATGTTGGGCGAAGAAGGACTTCCTGACACTGACACACCGCGGATCCCACCCAAACATCAGGGTCGGCCAAGAGGGGCGCGTCCAAGAGGGGGGGCGCGCAAATGATGGCCGGCGGCACGTGCGCGGCCCAGGGGGGGGGGGGGCCAGGGACGCGCGGAAACAAGACGAGACGCCATGAAATCTGAGGAAAGATCATGGTCCACGCCACGATGTCCACCCCCTCCCTGGCCATCACCCCCCTCTTTGCCAGCCCCGAAAACAACGGTGCCTCCGGCACGAGCCGCCCCTCGTCGCTCGTGCTGGCCGCAGGGCCGTCCTTCGCCACCCGCGCTGGCCTGGCCTGCCCCCCCCCCACCCGCCCCGGGGGCACGAGTGGGGCAGATTCCGCAGCCTGCGGCGGGCCAGGGAGCGGGCCAGAGGATGCAGGCTCGCAGAGGAGCGGGCGATCCAGACGCCCTCGCGTCATGACAAAAACCGCGGCGGGCGGCTTGCTGCTATGTTCGGCCTCCCAGAGCCCCTGCCGGGCCTCGGGGCCGTCAGAGAACGGCTCAGGATGAAAAACCGGTCCCGGGGAAGGGGTTCAGACATCTGGGGGTCGACGCTGCGAACAAAAATCACGACGTCAGGGGGTCTGGGGAGAAGGCTGTGGGGGCAAAAGAAGCTTGGGGGCTGGAAGGGTGACACGACGCTGCGAGGAAGACGGGGCGTGCTTGACCACGAATCTCGTCGCGACCTCGCAGCCGCCCTGGAGCTACTGAACACGACACTGGCGCGTGGACCCAAAACAATGAGAAACAGGACGACCATGATGGTGATGATGCGCAGCGCAGTACATGGCAACGACTGCGTGCCAAGGCCGTGGACAATGGGGAACAGTGGGACGCAGAGGGACATACGAATACTATGCGCTCCGTTCGGAATGGCACATCCGAACCGAACAGATGTAGGACACAAGTGTTCCAGAATGTCGTTGCCCAAGCGGTATGGCCAGAAAGCGCCCACCACGGAGCCTATGCTGCAAGGTTTCTGCGCGCGCGTCGTCCCTGCAAATCCGACGCGCATAGAATATGATCATGTTTGGGACGCCGAACCGGGCAAACCGGCAATGGCACAGGGCAGCACCATGCCCAGCCCGCAGACATGCGACGGCCTGATTTCGGTCAATAGGGCCCCTGGAAGTCCCGACCCCTGCCACGGGACTGGCTTTGCATCCCGAGTCTTAATGTTGCTCCCATCGCAATTAAGGACCACATCCGAGAAATAGTTTCGAGCACCCAAGAAAGTGTCGAAACAACGTCGAACGAGTACCGCCTCCGAGGGCCCGACCCGTGAAACCTCAAGTTTCGGCTAGCCTGGTGCACGAAATTTGTTTTGGTGATCAAGGCTATCAGGGTGGAACATCATAACCCGAGCTCCCTCTTTGGACGGCCCCGAGGCCCGGCGAGGGCTCCCAAGGGCCGAGGCCGAGGGGCCGAAAACGGCCCAAAACCTCCCGTCCTGATTTCTGGCACCAGGATTGGTACAGAGGACATTGGCGCTGGACGCTGGACCCTCCTCCGCGGCGCGCGGAACGCCGATCCAAGACATGGACCGATCCAAGACGTGCACGAGGAGCTCCGAAACTTTCTGCTTACGCAGTTCTGCTTCCTCTGATCATGGCAACGGAGGACAGCGCCATGGCCGGGGACCCCTCGGGGAGAGCCGAGCACCATGCCGAAGTGAGGCAGCGGGGAGCAGCTCCAGGGCCGAGGGCAGCCGCAGGCAGCCGGGGACGGCGCCGGGCCCAGGGCGCGAGCTGCAGCAGGATCGGTGAGGTGGCCCGTCGAGAGATGAAACGAAAAGGCGTCTCACGCGAGATGATCGGCTGCACGCAGGAGCGACCCCCTGGGCGAGAGTGACCCTCCGTGCCCGGCTTTCGGGGCGCCCCGGGGGTGGGGCCAGACCCGAGCGCGCGAGACGCTGCTGTCGCACCGCGCTCGGCCATCGGGGGACCCCGCTGGGCCCGCACCAGAGGACGAAACAAATCATTTTTAACATCCTCTGTGCAACATTTAAGCAGATCGAAGTCGTTAGGAAGACGTTCTAGAAATTCACCGTCACTCTGGCGAAAGGTCACTCGCTACGTGTAGTCGAGACGACGCAGCGACCTTACGCCGCGGCCTGCGTGGGCCGCCGGTGCGGCACGCCTCGGTACGGAAGCGAGGGCGCGTACACGCGCAGCCTGGCGCGGGCAGCGTGCGCGCGACTGTCGGCGCAGACGGCTGGGCGTTTCTGCGTCGCCCAGCTGGCGTCCCCCGCGCTGCGCCATCGGCCAGACGCAAGGGTGACCCTAGTTGGGTCGGGCATGTCCCCCTACGGGCGGATTTTGGAAGGAACAATTTAAAAAAACAGTAAAGACATCCTCCAAAACTGATCAACAATATCGTGGGAAAATCGTCCCCGGATCAATTGTTTGAGTATTGTTTGATTTTCCTCCTGTAGAGGGACGTGCCCGACTTAACCGAGCTTGGTGCCCGGCGTTCGGGGGGCGCGGGGGGGCCTAACCAGAGCGCGCAGGCTCCGCTGCTGGTCGCATCGCTCTCAGCCATCTGGGGGGCCCCAAGGTGCCGGCACTGATTCGGGTGACCCAAGAGGGGGTCCAGCTGAAAGGGGGTGGTGCAAAAGATTTGGGCAAATGTATTGAGGATGTATTGCTCCGGAGACTTGTGTTGCATTGCGTTGCAACTAATGTCTTACTCGCGAGAATCCAGCAATACACTTGCGCTCGGGAATGTTATTGCACGCCCCAAATCTATTGCAGCCCACAGATCTATTGCACCAGGTCTATTGCACCACCCCCTTGTAGCTGGACCCATTTTTGGGTCAACCAGAGCTGAACCCTGAAATCCGACGTAGCGAGAACATTGCAACATCGTAGAAAACCACGCCCAAAACCCTAGACCCCATCGTACTGCGTCATATATCTCGAGCCGGATCGATCCGTGAGGGCCCGAGTCGGATAGGGCAAAAACGCCCCGCTCGAAAAAATGGAGACGTGGATGTCGTCCTCCTGGCCCGAAACCAAAGCGAAAACGCCCGGCCGAACAAACAATTGAGACGCGTCTCCCTCCCTGCCAGGGACGCCCCCCAGGGCTGTGCGGCCTGCCGAGGGGGCGCCGAGGCGAACGACCCGTGAGCGAGGCCACGACGACGACGACGACCCAGAGATCCAACGCATGGAAGAAATCATGATGGAGGTTTTTCGCACTGCTCGCGGTCTCTAGGGGCCCTTCCCGGGTCTCGGGACCGTCAAAAAACTACTCAGGATGAAAATCCGGTGCTGGGGAAGGGGTCGAGATGTCTGGGGACCCCACACTGAAAACATCGCGATACGTCGGATCTCTGGGGACCAGGAGGAAGAGGGGGAAAACGGGGACGACGAAAACGCGAAAGTCCCTCCGGCGCAAGGTCCCTCTGTGGGCAAGTGTTCGGATGTTCGGTTTGATCTCGACATTCAGAACACGTGTACGAATGAGCTGAGCAGCATTTGAAGCCCTCGTTCATATGATCCAACAGCCCGAGATCGGTTTGCTCCTCGAGCTGTGTCCGAAACACTATTCGCACTCTGCAACTTGTTTGGCGCGTCGCCGCTGTCAGCACGCCGAGGGCCGCCGCGGGCGCCCCACAGAAGGACGCCCCCGGGAGGGGCCGCCTAGGGACCCGCCGAGGGCCTCTACCCCGAGGGCCGCTGCCCCCCCCCCCCACCCCACCCCACCCCCCAGGGGCCGCCGAGAGGTCCCCCGAGTGCACGGTTTCCCCCAGGGCCGTACGCGACCCGAGGAGGAGGAGGAGGAGGAGGAGGAGGAGGAGGAGGAGGAGGAGGAGGAGGAGGAGGAGGAGGAGGAGAAAGAGGAGGAGGAGGAGGAGGAGGAGGAGGAGGAGGAGGAGGAGGAGAGGAGGAGGAGGAGGAAGAGGAGGAGGAGGAGAGGAGGAGGAGGAGGAGGAGGAGGAGGAGGAGGACGAGTAGGAGGAGGAGGAGGAGGAGGAGGAGGAGGAGGAGGAGGAGGAGGAGGACGAAAAGGAGGAGGAGGAGGAGGAGGAGGAGGAGGAGGAGGAGGAGGAGGAGGAGGAGGGGGACGAGGAGGAGGAGGGGGACGAGGAGGAGGGGGAGGGGGAAGAAGGAGGAGGATGAGATGGAGGAAATGGAGGAGGAGGAGGAGGAGGAGGAGGAAAGGAGGAGGAGGAAAAGGAGGAGGAGGAGGAGGAGGAGGGGAGGAGGAGGAGGAGGAGGAGGAGGAAAAAGAGGAGGAGGAGGAAAAAAGAGGAGGAGGAGAGGAGGAGGAGGAGGGAGGAGGAGGAGGAGGGGATGGACATGGAGGAGGAGATGGACGACATGGAGGAGGAGGAGGGGTAGGGAGGAGGAGGAGGGAGGGAGGAGGAGGAGGAGGAGGAGGAGGAGGAGGAGAAGGAGGAGGAGGAGGAAGCGGAGGAGGAGGAGGAGGAGGAGGACGACGAGGAGGAGGAGGGGGAGGATGGCGGATGAGGGGGAGGAGGGGGAAGAGGAGGAGGAGGAGGAGGAGGAGGAAGAGGAGGAGGACGAGAAGGAGGAGGAGGAATCGGAATCGGAATCGGAACAGACGCGAAGCGTCACAACACACGCTAGGCCTTGGGATTCAAACCTCGGGTCAGCCTGTCAAGGTATTCGCGCCGCTTGGGGGTCAAACGAACCTCGACACAAGGCTTCGCAAGATCTCGAATATGCTCAGATCCAAATCTGACACAGCTGCGACAATACCACATACGATTGACCGCATTATACAACACGGTGTGAGAACAATGCGAGACCCCACCCCCTTATGTGTACTCCTGACCCTGGGGCCGCTCTATAAAGATCGCCGCGCACATGGGTGGGCGGCATGCACGGGGAGCCTAGCCAGGCGGTCCTGGCCGCCTTGCTCGAGCGGAGGAGGAGGAGGAGGAGGAGGAGGAGGAGGAGGAGGAGGAGGAGGAAGGCGGATGAGGAGGGAGGAGGAGGGGGAGGAGGAGGAGGAGGAGGAGGAGGAGGAGGAGGAGGAGGAGGAGGAGGAGGAGGAGGAGGAGGAGGAGGAGGAGGAGGAGGAGGAGGAGGAGGAGGAGGAGGAGGAGGAGGAGGAGGAGTTCAGAGTTCAGAGTTCAATGGGGGACCCTGTCCCTCGTCTGCAGCAGCAGCAAGGCCCGCAGGGGTGTCTACCCTGGCGGAGCACGCTGGCCTCGGAGTCCTGTACGAGGGGTGTTTACCCTTCGCAATCCTCGCTCGGTTCTCATGCCCCTTGCGACTGCGGCGGGGAGGGCACACAACCTGCAAATGCCGAGGGCCAGTAGTGGAAGTGAGGCCGCACTTGACACCGACACGAAGATTATGGAGATCCCACG